AGTTCTTAGTGTTATGAATTAAATCCAAAAATAATCGAAGACTTAAAAACATAAGTCCTAGTAATAAAAGTCCTGAATAAAACTCACTTCAATTCACGAAGCGATGTAAATTTAAGGCTATGATGTGTCTGATATGGTCTGCCAAGTGCTGATAGGTCAGCAATATCTTGTTGAATCACAGAAAAATTATTCAAGGTTTCAATATAAATTCCAGTGAATATCTTTATCAGAATTTTTTTTTTTATCAGAACGCGTTTGTATTTCCAGAGAAAATAAACACTTAAATTCAATAATCTGAAGAGAAAAAAATTCAGCCCAAATGGGTCACAATATAATACAACTTGAAGTGCTAGATGTTAAAGCACGACTGTCAAAATCCTCACAGTCACAAGATAATATAGTTTTCTGCCCTACCTCAGGTCACAACAAGCACAATCCAAAAACAACAATTACCTAAACGAAAATAACTTTATAGAATGATCTAATGAACCTTGTTTATTTACAAGGCAATAGCCTACAAAATTCACTCTGAAATCTCCAAAACCCCTGCCCTTGATCAATATATTTACGCCTTCTTGTTTAATTGAATAATGATCCTGATAATAAGCTGATACACACTGAGAATAATGAAGCTATTTTTAGTTGTGTACATAATGAAATTAAAAATGATAAAAAATATAAAAGTCAATCAGGTCAAGCAGAAATGAACTCTACTTTTGATAATGTCAAGTTCAGCAAACAATGTTACATTACAATAACATGTAATGAAATAAAAACATATTTAAACTAACAAACAATCAAACTAGATATACATAACATGTAGGTGTAGCGGATCAATACAATTTATTGAACATGATTTAGGCATGGATTAAACACTGTGTAAACTATTTAATCGTTAATTAAAGACTAAAACGTAAGACTATTTTCAATATGTAGCAATGGGTCTATACAAGAATAAACTAAATTAGATTATATCAACTAACTCTATAGCGAGGCAAATAGGTGTGCGTTACTTTCTCAAAACTTTAGGCTGTAGAAAACTATAAAAATTACATATACATTCGGAACATACTGTTCAGCAAAAGCAGCAAATAAAAAGTTCCAACTTGAGAGAATTGTTAATGTTCTTATTATATTAAGTACGCTGGAGGAAGACATTGTCAGTGCTTTGTAGATTTAACGGCATTATTTTCATCGCATCATCTGCTGTATGACTGCTAGTATTTTTTGTTGGAGAAAAAATCCATATAAAAACGCACCAAGGTGATATATCAATGATCTGTAAAGGTGTGCGTCTTAGACCACACGGCCACTCAGAAGAAGACATAGTATTTAGAAATTATGTCAACGGAGTAGAAGCAGCTTAATTAAAAATTAATCAATGAAACGAGACGTTGAAATAGAAGAGATACAGCACAGAGTGAAAAATGTAAATTGAAAGAACTGTTGTATAAAAATTAAAACAAAAGTGCACAAATAGTTGGACATTTAAAATATTCAGAAAATAACTTCAGAGGACATGTCACCAACATAAATATCAAATTAAGATATAAGGTACCATTATTTTACAGATATATGATTCACAGCAGCTTGTATTTGTATAAGTATAAAACGGAGGAGCAAGTGCTGGTGTTAAATGTAGTGGCAACAAAGGTAATATAGATACATGCGTTGACAAAATTAAACAAGGAATGAAAAATACTGACAAATATTGTACTTGTTTTTATGAGTTACAATAGCAGCAGTATCACTGCATGGTAACGTTAGCAGTATAGTAAGATAGCTTGCAAATCAGTATCACCGCATGACAACGCTGGTATTGCAAAAAGTTGTATTTTAAATCAATATTACTGCATGGGACCGTTTGCATTGCAATAATCTGACTATTACATCAGTATCGCTGCATGGTAATGGTATTAGTACAATAAGATGTCTTTCAAATCAGCATCATTGCATGGTAACGCCAGTAGTACAATAAGCTGTCTTTCAAATCAGTATCATTGCATGGTAACGCCAGTAGTACAATAAGCTGTCTTTCAAATCAGCATCATTGCATGGTAACGTCAGTAGTACAATAAGCTGTCTTTCAAATCAGCATCATTGCATGGTAACGCCAGTAGTACAATAAGCTGTCTTTCAAATCAGTATCACTGCATGGTAACGTCAGTAGTACAAAAAGCTGTCTTTCAAATCAGTATCATTGCATGGTAACGTCAGTAGTACAATAAGCTGTCTTTCAAATCAGCATCATTGCATGGTAACGCCAGTAGTACAATAAGCTGTCTTTCAAATCAGTATCACTGCATGGTAACGTCAGTAGTACAAAAAGCTGTCTTTCAAATCAGTATCATTGCATGGTAACGTCAGTAGTACAATAAGCTGTCTATCAAATCAGTATCACTGGATGGTAATGTCAGTAATACAATAAGCTGTCTTTCAAATCAGTATCACTGCATGGTAACGTCAGTAGTGCGATAAGCTGTCTTTCAAATTAGTATCATTGCATGGTAACGTCAGTAGTACAATAAGCTGTCTATCAAATCAGTATCACTGCATGGTAACGTCAGTAGTACAAAAAGCTGTCTTTCAAATCAGTATCATTGCATGGTAACGTCAGTAGTACAATAAGCTGTCTATCAAATCAGTATCATTGTATGGTAACGTCAGTAGTGCGATAAGCTGTCTTTCAAATTAGTATCATTGCATGGTAACGTCAGTAGTACAATAAGCTGTCCTTAAATCAGTATCATTGGATGGTAAATTTTGCATTGCCATAAGCTGTTTTTAAATCAGATGAGAGGAATGTTTTTGTATTAGTTGATCATATTATTTTGTTTCACTGTAGCATTTATCAGTTTGTCCTTTGCAGTTCTTGTCGTAAGTGCGGACACAAAAAAGTAACAAAAATATTAAAATGAAAGGAGAAGAGAGGTGCTTATATAGTAAATTATACCATTTGCTGCAAACATTATCACAATTATAAACGCTTAATTATTTCTCCCATTATCTGTTTGCTTTATCTAATGCAAATGCTCATTTGTATGGATAATAAAGACTTTCACCATTTTTACACTTCTTGGTTACATAATTATAACATACGTCCTCGTTTCTACCAATATCAGTTAAAATATTTACAATGTTTAGTTCATGCCGTCCACAGTGTAAGTAATATGGTCAAGAGAGGTGGTGAAATGATTAAGAACGGCATATCAACTTAAAAACCAGATCTCCGCCCTCAACGCATAAATACGGAGATCTGAAAGTAGATTTCAGAAATTCTTAATGGCTGTTTATCTAATAAATTGCCACAAGAGACAAAGATATCCTTAAATGTCGCTCACTCATACTTGATCATCGTCGCAAGCCACGGTATAGAGTCAGCTTCATCCCTGTATTACCTAGCTTGCCTACACGGAGATTTGTTCGGTTAACACGAATATGCATAACATACATAAGCTATTCACCGGGAACGCTGTTAAATTTTCACATGATAATTTCATATTTTGACCACAACCAATATATAGGGTAGAGGATATTTTCCTTGCATTTGTAAAACTAAATAAGCAGTTTTGTTTACATTTACTTTAAGCTAGGCTAGAAAAAAAAGTTGCCTGTCTGGTGAGTACCTGTCAGACAGACAAGCATTGTAAATCAGATCGATAACTTGGGCTGCAAAAGGTATAGCCTAGATGGTTTACATGTTTGTGTATACCAATTTTTTTTAATAACACCAGTGAACTTTTTAAAAAATTTTTAAAAATTCTTTACTGTCAAAAATGAATGCAAACAAAGTTAGTGCTAGCTCAGTATAAAGTTGAAAGTTGTACATGAAAATTAACCCAAATACTTTAATTAAAATGTAATAATTTTGTTCCTTGGTAGTATTATTTCGTAATTGCTTATGCCTAGAAAGTATAAAATATGGCTATTATTCCAAACAAACTTTTTTTTTTACCAGGACAGTGACATTTTGAAATTTATCTATTTCCAATGAGAAAAAGGGCGAATCTGTGTCTTCTTGTTCACATAATGTCGGAAAAAAACAACATATGAATCAAAATTAACATGTAAGTAAAGTAATACAAAATGACCGCACAAAAAGATCTAAAAAAGAGTAGCTTTTCTAGATTTATGATCATACTGTAAATCTCTTTCACGAATCACCCCCAAATGTAGTATCCCATCATGTTCTTGTTACACTGTCCTTGGTAGTGGTGTTCAAAGTCCAGTATATCCGGAAGGAAGTACTCACCTCACTCCTCCGAGTACGCTTCCATGTTTTCCTTTTATTTATCAAGATGAGCGTCAAGGATATGTACTTTAAGGGACATCCTGCAGCCAGTTGTGTCTTATTTCTTCACCAGTCTCAACCACCTCAACATAGTTTTATTGGCCATGTGATTCCCCAGGAAGTCCCAACCACTACGACAAAGCTGTTCCAAACCACATTTTCCTTACTACTGAGCTTCTTGGGGGAATTCATTGTTTTTCAGTATCTTCTTTACTTGTGGTCTGACAAACACACTGGCTTTGACATTTGCCTCACAATACTTAGGGAAGAAGACTTGAAGGTAATTGAACGCTGCCGACTCCTTACCTAGAGCTCTGACAAATTGTTTCATAAGGTCCAATTTGATGTGCAGTGGTGACATCAACTTCTGGGGTTTTACCAATGGCTCACGCTTGACGTTGCTCCTCTCCATAGAGAAATTGGTTCGAGCTGGCCAGTCCCACCGGTGGTAATGCACCTTGGTGTCCATGGAAAAGGCAAATATAGCAGGGAAAGTTTGTAAAACCGCCTTGGAGACCCATCAGAAATGCTACCATTTTGAAGTTTCTGATGACCTCCCAGCCGTACTCATCATATTTCAATATGTTCAGCAAGGTCTTTTTTCCGTTCTAACCCTCTTTGATGAGCACCGAGTAAGCCAAGGGAAGAAAAGGGTCCTTGTTTCCATTTTGAAGCAGCACAGTTTTGAGGTTCCTGAATTTGCTGGAACCACTCCGGTAGCCTAGTGATATAGCGTCTGCCTTGGATGCGATAGGTCGCGGGTTCGAACCCCAGCCGAGTCATAACAAAGACTTTAAAATGGTACTAAAAGCTGCCTCGCTTGGCGCTCAGCATTAAGAGGTCAGTGTTAGGACTCATCGGCCTGCTGTCAGGATAATGTGACTGGGTTGGACATCATGCTACATGCCTGTGGCATGATGCCCCAGTGCTAAACATCACTATAAACTATTACACTGGAGACATCGTAGCGATATGACTGAAAAATTATTAAAAGCTATGTTAAAATCTAAATCACATCACACGAATGAGCTGTCAATGAATATGCGAAAATCATTCTGGACAATGTTTGGTGATGCTACTTCTGATCTATGACTTGAGTAATTTCATCCAACAAGTTCCACTGCTAGAGCCCAGATGTCAATAGTTCAGCATTGGACTTGTTAAGACCAAGATCTCTGATCAAGTCGTTCTGGTCTTTTTGGATGGGGTAGTATGGATTTATCTCCTCAGACCAAACTATGAAATAATCATCTGGATATACGTCTTCCTCCCTCTCTGACTTGCTGCTCTCTTCAACAGACGGCTGTTCTAGCTCCGAAGTAGTGGGTACAGGGAACTCGGGGCAATGTGACATCGGGGAGATGGATGAAGGAAGGTCCGGATAAGTGAAAGCAATCGCATTAATGCCAGTCAGACATTTGGAAGGGTTCATCATGCAGAAGAAGCAGTTGCTTGAGTGGTCAATTGGTTTCCGGCAAATTCTTGGGATAGAGAACTCCATGTTATTCTTTCCCCCTCTGCATCATCCATGGCGTCATTCAACAGATAATTTTTATGGAACAGTGCTTATTGTGTTAAAAAAAAGATATCGAAGAAACGTTTATAATGGAACCAACTAATAAAAAAAATAACCTACTGGTGGTGTCTGAAATTTGTTTCTGCAACACCTCAATTAATTACTTAATAATATTATAATGAATAAAAACCCATTTGAAAATCAATATTACAGAAAGTCAAGTATGTGAATGGAAAAACAAACTGAATATTGTAAGTGATTATACAGTAAAAGTACAAAAACTATCGCAAACGTATAGTTGTCATTGACATAATTGTGTATTCGTTATTCACTGTTATCGCTGAAACTAGCATATTGCTATCACCAATAACAATGACGTTGCCAACATTTGTAACAATTTGTGTTTCAGCCTCAACAACAATTGATGGTATTTTTAATATTGAAAAGAAAATAGCTATATGCACAAAAGCAAAACTATACGATTACACAAGAAAACTACACGCGGAGATGTTATCATCTTCCAAATAATCATTGAATATGTCGTATCTAAGTGATGATAAAATTTCCAATGAGGAATTCTCAACGATAATAAAAACTTACAATGAAGTATTTGACGAAAAAAATAAAGATCCAATGGAATATCTGGATCTAGAATAAATGAAGCAAGACCACATAGGAAATTGGAATCCTGACTTAAAATCAGGAGTTTTGAATACTACTATAATCATCTCAGGAATTACTACAACAGATTGTTAATAATACAGCACCGCAAAAATAAACAATGAAATTAAAAAGTTAAAATCCTGCATTTGGCAATAACTTTCCAACTGCAGCGAGCCAGATAGTTGTCTCAGATAGGAGATAGACTATATATTGTGTAAAACGCAAGCTTAGTTTCCATATTTTAATATGTTATTCCATTTGTTAATTTGCAAATGTATTGATGTTATGATGTATATATGCATGATTTAATTTTTCAGGGTTTTAGTGAAATGTTAGTCATGACATTTATTCTTTGATATTCTAATTATCAATTCATTGGGAGAATTGACAAGTTTGCAAGTAATTGAATGTCCAACGAATTGGCTAGATTGCATATAGTTGAATATTCGATACATAGGAATGCTTAGGAATTTGTATGAGTTCAGCCTAATAAATGATGGGTAAGGTTTCATATATGTATGAATTAAATCTCCGTGTAAAAGGCCACGTATTGAGGGTATATTCATATACTAGTTCGTAATATTTAATTGATCATGTAAAAGTTCGACTGGCAAGAGTCTATGTCCAGACGACTAGACAAAGGTTGGAAGTGCAGGAAGGAAGGGAAAATTCGATGTCCGGATAAGATAGGTTATATTGTCGTTCATCGTTGATCTCAAGGTCACGACTCGTAGACTACGATGAAACTGTATTAATTCTGTCACTGATAAGTAATAGTAAAGTGAAAATTTGTATTGCTTTTATTGAGTACATGTTAGTACATTTTCTTCTTTCTTTTGTAACAAAGAAATTGATTTCTTCCATTTTAAATTCTGTTGTTAAATTGATTAAATTTTATATTTGTTCATTGAAAAGTAGGCTCGTTTTATTTCTTCAATATACTTGTCCAGAGATCTGCATTCTTCTTTCTATCCATCCACACTGGGTAAATTACACCGCAAAAGGTCATTCCCTAGCAACGACACGTAGTGGACGAGGTTGGTGTGTTTGAACGCCACCAATTTACCACATTATTGGCGGCCTCGTTCCGGGATATTTGAATAGTGGATAAATAGCAGATCTGAGCATATATTAAACAGAAATACAACACCGTATCAGTGATATATTTGTATTAGTTAAAATAAGAACCAACGAGTGTGAATTGAGTCAATATTTATGATTATATATGTTTGAAATTATGTATGATTTTTAATTTCTTAAATGTTGCATGACATTGCAAGAAATTTAAGATTCCGTATCTGAAATTGCTGAAGCGTGGTTGGTTGTCAGTATTGAAGTAATCCAGAAATATTTTGCTTTAGTACTCTTGCGAGAAGAGATAATTAAGGAAGTATTATCCAGGGTAACTTGCAAACGATACGAATTTATGGAGAATTTATAGTTTAGTATTGCCTGAAAGCCGTTTAAGTTTTTTGTGTGATTTAAGTAAGTCTGTATGTAATCATTACTGAGTTAGGATACTGGTAGGTATTCCTAGGGAGGCTATTTTCTTGAAGGCAGAAAAAGATCAGCGATACCTAATCTAGGTAAGTGGGTTAGTGACAAAACCGATAGACAAGAAGGACAACTTTAAGGCAATTAGCTAAGGAATTTAAAGTTCTCGGATCGGAAGCTCTAGGTTATGAAGGGACCCGGTTAGCTGAATTTGTAGAGCGCAGTCTCAGAGTACAGAAAACAGCAGGCAGCCGAAAAAGAAAGGAAAAAAGAAATTGAGTTAGCCAGACTGTGGGCCGAAAGTGAGAGATTCAAGGTCGAGGAAAGGAATAACGAGAGGGAACACGAGTTAGCCATGGAAAGACTAAGGATAGAAGCGGAATCTAGGAGGGGCGAAGAACTGAACATTCAGGACCATCAAGCAGAAGAACTGATGATAGACCTACCGTCCAGATAACCATGCCATGTTCAAAGATAAGGATGAGGTTACTGATAACTTTTTAGCCCAGTTTGAAATGTTAGCTTCAATACACCGTATACCCAAAGAACAGTGGGCTATTAATATTTCGGCATTTTTGCAATGCGCTGCCAAGGATGTTTATCATAACAGGGCACTCGCTGAAATAGATGATTGCGAAGCTCTCAAGAAAGTGCTACTACGACACTTTGAGTTGACAGCTGAAAGTTTCCGTAAACTTTTCAGAGAGTCAACTAAGAAAGCTACAGAGACTCACGCGCAATTTCATACCCGTGTGCGTACTTTTCGATAAGTGGATAAAAATGATGGGGGCCGAACTTACGTACGAAGGCATACGGGAAGAGATTCTGAAAGACCATGTCCTCAGCACATACCGGAAAGACCTTGGAAGACATTAGTGTAATGGCCCAGCGATATGAAGCTGCGCACTCTCGTCCAACCATATGGAGTGGCAGGGACCGAACAAGCGTCCCGGACTTAAGGAGAGGTAACGGTTTAACACCTATTAGGCGGAATGGTCAAAATGATGGGAAGCCGGGGCTGACAATCCCAGCCGTGATCAATCCGGGGGCTCAGGTAAGTCCCAAGGGGTGGACAAGGTAACCTCTGGTAAGAAAGAGGAAGTTGTGTGTTATGGTTGCAACAAACCCGGCCATATTTTTAAGAACTGTAGGAAATACACCACTCCCTCGATAACTCGCGGACATCGGGGTCCAAAAACATCGACCGCGACATAAGCGAGGGCGCGAGTTATCGAGGGACCTATAACAAACAACAAAACTAACAAAGGGATCGACGTATAGGCTAAAGGGGGTGGGGTTGGCTTGGCATGTTACAATGTTGAATACTCAATAAACGTGCTAAGATTAACAGTGAATAAATATCTCTTCATATCTTTATATATTATTTTTTTCCTCAGAGTAACATTAATTTCAGGATAACTTGCAGTATATTGATCATCAAACATTATTCCACGTGGTTTTCATTCGCTTAGCACATGTACGACTGCACGTTTTGACCGCAGATTTGAATCACCCACGCATGCGTGCCCCAGTTATACCACGTGACCACGCAGTCGCATAAATGTTATTATTTTGGAATTATTATTCTTAAGATAGTTATTGGTAAAAACGTAGTAGTATCGCAAATAGAAATATCAGTATATGTACAATGGCTAACTTTCGAAAGTCGCAGAGCTAGTCGACTAAAAAAAACAACGAGCAAAGATTACTTTGATGCGTTACGAAGATTTCAAGGTGTCTAGGTGATGATTGTTCATAATATACTTTGTGGGATTTCTTGGACATGTTTGTTCGGAAATCAAAGGTATCCGTCTGGGTTTCATTAAAAGAGCCCGCTAGGTACCGATCATATAGCACCCACATTTAATAGTTATCATCTACAAAGAGGTTTATTACTCGTAGAACAAAGGTTTTAACTTTGGAATATAATGCCTCGGGGATAACGGTTGGTCCGGTTGCACAACGCCAATGAATTTTATTACTCAAAACCGACGGCCTGACGTATTGTTTATTTATATTAAGTAGCGATCTGGTTTCTTATTATAGCCATAGCTGTCCCACCTGTTTGAAGTGGTTGGCCAGTGTGGCGATTTTTTTTTTTTTTTTTTT